TTCCCAGTTCTGAGAGTAGAGGATCTTCTTGATGCAGTGCAGGGCGCTAGAGTCTTCTCAAAGATCGACCTTCGTTCGGGTTACCACCAGATTCGCGTAGCTCCAGAGGACCAGCACAAGGCGGCGTTCCGTACGAAGCAGGGGTTGTACGAGTTTAGGGTTCTACCGTTCGGATTGACCAACGCTCCAGCGATGTTTCAGACGCTCATGAACACCGTCCTCTCCGAGTTCCTAGGGTCGTTCGTTGTAGTTTACCTTGACGACATCCTAGTGTTCTCTAAGACAAAGGAGGAGCACGTGCAACACTTGCAGAAGGTCTTTGAGGTCTTGAGGAGGGAGCAGTTGTACGCGAAGCAGTTGTACGCGAAGCAGTCGAAGTGCGAGTTCTTCCTCCCGGAGGTCGAGTTTCTAGGTCACGTCGTTTCCGCTAGTGGCATTAGGACCGACCCGAAGAAGATCGCAGCAGTACATGATTGGATAGCACCGACCTCAGTCAAAGAACTGCAGAGCTTCCTCGGTTTCGCGAATCACTACCGTCGTTTCGTTCAGGGTTACGCTTCCATTGCTAGTCCACTCACCGACCTACTTCGGAAGGGCGTAGAGTTTCTTTGGGGTCCAGCGCAGCAGCAGGCGTTCGAGCAGATGAAGCAGTCGCTCACGTCTTCACCGACACTGTCGTACCCTGATCCCACTCGCCCATATATTGTAGTGACCGACGCTTCAGATCAGGCCATGGGAGCAGTGCTTCTTCAGGACCAGGGACGTGGGTTGCAACCGATCGTGTACGAGTCGCGTAAGCTTAGGGGAGCGGAGTTGAACTATCCCATACCCGACAATGAGGCGCTCGCGATCATCCATGCGTATAAGGTGTGGAGGTGCTACCTAGAGGGGGCAGATAGTGTGATACGCACGGACCATTGCTCGCTTCGCTTTCTCAAGTCACAACCGCAGCTGAGTCGTCGCCAGGCTAGATGGATGGAATTCATGGAGGGGGGTTTTCACTACAGGATAGAGTACAAGCCAGGCGTTCACAACCCAGCAGATCCGCTCACTCGCCCTAGTTGCCAGCTCGCTAGTCTCACAGTCACTGCCGGCCATCCACTTCTCACAGCACTCTTCGAGGATGGTTACACAGTAGATCCCAACTTCACACCGCAGCCACCCGCAAGAGCAGAGGTGTAGGGTAGTGTCTACATACGGAAGGGTACCACACGGATTTGTGTTCCTGCCTACCGCCCTCTTCGACAGCTCCTTCTCTCAGAGGCGCACGACGTAGTTAGTGCAGGGCGCACGTACTTCTGGCCAGGGCTTGCAGCAGACGTAGAGGATTACATTCGCTCGTGCGACACGTGTCAGCATACGAAGTCCTCTCGCCAACGCAAGGCAGGACTTTTGCAGCCGATTCCACCACCCGACCGCCCTTGGCAGGTAGTTACGATGGACTTCATCATGGCTTTACCGCGCACAGTTAGGGGTCACGACGCCATCTTCGTGGTAGTGGATAAGTTTTCTCAAGCAGCGCACTTCATCCCCACGCATGGCAAGGTCATAGCAGAGGAAGCCGCGACGCTGTTCGTAGATAACATAGTCCGACTGCACGGGGTTCCAAATTCCATCATCTCAGACCGCGACCCTCGTTTCACTTCTAAGTTCTGGAAGCAGCTTTTCGCACTGTTTGGGACTTGCTTAGCCATGTCGTCTGCGTACCATCCAGAGACAGACGGATAGACCGAGCGTGTGAACCAGACCTTGGAGCAGATTCTTCGCAGCATCACGATGCACGACGCAGCCGCATGGGACAAGAAGTTGAGCATGGCCGAGTTTGCCTACAACAACACGCACCACTCGTCCACAGGCATGTCACCGTTCTTCGCACTGTACGGTCAGCACCCCAATGTCCCCACTCGTGTTGATCTCACACCCACAGTCCCTCGTGCGGACAACTTCCACCAGCATCTCACCTTCATTCATGATCACGTGAGGAAGCACCTTGAGCTCGCAAATGCACGCATGGCACACACCACCAACTGCAGTCGTCGTGAGGTGTCGTTTTCAATTGGCGACCGTGTCCTTCTCGACAGCCGCAACCTCCGACTGCCACAGGACAACAAGCTTCGCCCTCGTTTTATTGGTCCATTCGTCATTGAGCGTGCACTAGGTCCAGTCGCATACCGCCTTCGCCTTCCCGCTCATTTCCGCATGCACCCGTCATTCTACGTGTCGCTTCTTCGTCCTTACACCGATCCTAATGCCACCTTCTCGGGCCGTGACCGCACTCCACTGACGGTAGCTGTTGACACAGACGAGCCCGACTACCAGATCCAGCGCATCCTCAGGCACCGTCGCCGTCTCCAGGGGGGTGTCTTTTTCATCGACTTCTTGGTTCGTTGGCGTGGTTACGACGCAGCAGACGACAGCTGGGTTCCTTCGTCCTCGCTGTCTCCCGACAACGCTTACCTCCAAGCGTACCTCCAGTCTGCAGGCGCCGCGGACGTCGCCTCCTTGGGAGGGGGGTAGTGTTAAGGGGGGATTTACAGTTCATTCCGAACAGTACTTTCCAACTCACCCTTATCCTTATCTTCCTTGATTTCCTAGTGCCACGTGGCACTCTACCTTTCTTGCATTCAATTCCTAGTCCCGCGAAGTACTTTCCGACATTCGATCTTGCATGCTATATCAACCTTGCTTGTTACTTGCCATTATCAATCAATTCTCGTCCAACTCTTTCATTACTCAGTAACTCTTTCGCATATTTCGCCAATAGTTCTTTCGCCAAAGTCTTACGCAGTGTTTTCATCCTCGATTTAGTCGACCCCGCTAATTCTTTAGCGAACTCAGGGCCTGTTCCTACGCTCTTATCAGGCAAACCTCTTGTCAGCCTTGCCTGGTAAAAGTAGCGAGGGTTTTTAGGTTTATGAAATTTTCAGTGTGTTTTGACGCGAGCTTGATAAGAGGTTGGCCTGATAAGAGGCCGTAGGAACACGCCCTTAGGCCGTCGGGCCTAACACGACACCATAAACCTTAGGATCAATCGGGGATCACCAGTGGACCTCTGACACCCCCCCGCACTGGGATGCCCGAAGTGCACACACTGGGATACGAACCCGAGACCTTCGCTCTGATACCACCGTCATCACTCGGATATAAGACAGTGTTGAATAGTAGACAGGGGTTGTCTATTATACGGGTGTCTCTAATAAACGGGGTAGCCTCATTATAAGACACCTATTTGTGTGTAGAGGCAAATGGCAAATGTATAACGAGGAAGTATCTTCTAAACGGATTTTTGTCCATTTATAAGACTGATTTTTTTAATGTATGAGATAAGACATACATGTCTTATATCCGGGCGATGACGGTATGTCAAAATCACAACCACTAGACCATTGGGATAAAAAGGTTTGTTAAGTAGCGGATCAGTGCGTCCATAACCCCCCAGGACAACGAGTATGTAACCCTTCTCTATGATCAATCGGGAATCACCAGTGGACCTCTGACACAACTTTGACTCTTCGCATTCATTCTCGATACTGCGTGCTTCACTTAGCTGCGTCAGGATTGCACAATGATATTTTACTATTCGTAACAAACCCCACCCCAGCGAGGCGGTTGAAGAAACGGGTGTACAGTCATGTTTGAAATCCAGTCAGATGCGCATAACTGTAACTTTCGCCTGGTCGCCCAATTTCGAGATACATTCAATTTTTGTGACGCGAGATTGACAAAATGTATCGACGCAACTCTGAGACACAAATGGGGATTGAGACACAAATGTCTAAGCAGGATTGAGATAGCATTAAGCCAGCTCTGGTCAGGCTAACATGTTGTCAATAGGAATACCACCACTTTAATATCAGCACAAGGATATATTAGGAAAACAAGGCTAAAACTCTCTTGCATACAGATTGCATGTATACATCACTCACACACCAGCAGAAAATTCTACAAGAGACCTCACATTCTATCTCATCTATCATGAGGTCTCTCCCTCCAGCAATAGGAACTAATCTGTGTCTAGTTCGGTGTAAGCAGCAGCGGTTCCAACAGCATTTGGCTGTAGAGCATATCCATCCACGAATCGGGCAGCCCAGGAAGACACCAGTGCGTACAGTCACCCTTATCGGGTGTCTTGAACGCTGCCGAAACGTCCGGCTGGATTTGATTCCACATGCCGAGATGAGCGTCTGGCCTCGTCTCGCTCATCCTCGTTACACGCACAAAGCGGAACAGCGACCCCCGCAGAGCGTTCTTCTGAGACTTGTAATAATCCTCAGCTACAGTCAGGTTATTGTACTCATCCATCGCCTCGTCCCACTCCATCGGTCTTGTCGCGCCACATGAACCCTCACCAGGGTCAGTAGGATCAACTGGGCCGTGCTTGGGCGAAAAGCTCAGGAAATAGGGCATCCCGGGGTATTCAATTCGCGTGAGGTAATTCGCCCAGGATTTCACGGCGTACCACTGAGCGTTGACGTTGGTGATGTTCGCGGGAGCGCCTTGAATGTAATACTGGTCGGGCTGCTTCGGGCTGCCCGGAAAGTTTTGCGACCACCACACACCAGTCGAAAACAACACCACATCGTAATACGAAACGAGGTACTGAACGACGGGATCGATTGTCGTGATGTTAACCTTGTAACCAGGCGTGCCCGTCTGGTTGGCGATGGGCTTTCGCCTCTCAGCTTGCGTGAGGTAGGGCGAGAAGTAGAAGTGCAGAGAAAAGTCGATCGTCGGGAAATCCACGCCTCTCAAACCCTTGGGCGCACTGTCATCGTCGAACGGCTGTGATGAAAACAGGGGTGAGGGATGGATGGCGGAAAAGGAGGCTGAGAACATGAGCCGGAGAGCAGTTCGAAACGAAGGTAGTCATATATGTTTCATTCAAGACGCTCGAGCCAAGTGTTCTGAAATGTAAATGCATAGTAGCTCCACTATCGCTAGTTCTCCGTTCACTGTGCCCTTGCACACTTACGCGACCTTTCAACCTCCTCCGCCCTCACCTTTCCCTTGTTGTCGGCCGAGCTGATGAGACAGAGCAGCGACTGGTACGCGTTGTTCGTTATGGAGTCTCCCACCATAAGCATCCTCTGAAATTGTCCAGATTACATACAAAATGAGGGTCGGAAAGCGATCGCATGCGCGATTAATATTGAACGGAAAACGTCCCAGACAAATGAAAACGCACAGGCTTTCATTGCCGTAAGTTATGGAATCCCGTAGCCCACGCACCTTGCCCTTCATGAGGAACCCCCAATCCTCCGCGGTAACATAACTAAGATCGCACTTCTCCGGCTGCCAGCGCAGCTGGTGGTAGAGCTGGTCGGGCCGGTTGTTGGTTTCACAGTTGAAGCCGCTGCGAATGTACTTGCAGTAGTTCGGCTCCCAACCTATTCCCGAGTATCGCTTCGGCTGATTCACCGCCTTCACCCATTTGCCCACCGAGTAGTCGCACTTCGCTGCGCAGGGAAATCGACGGGGAGATAAAGAAGAGGAATGAACTGTTAGGTACGGTTCCCTCTTTTTCGATGTCTAGGAATAGACTCGTTGGTATTCCTGGTTTGTGCATACGGCTTAAAGGGTGGAATTAAAGAAAGCAATCGAGGGATGCTTTCGGTTTACCAGGACGAGGTTCGGGTGCGGGATCCGCGAAAGCTTGTAGCGCGAACAGGAGAGCGAAGGCAGCGGCTAATAGTGCTATTTTGGGCGCCGCCATGACTGTGATATCAAAGAGCGGGGCTTAAGTTCAGCAGCAACTAACTTCGAAGGCAACCAGCTATGGCAATTGATGGAAAACTATGAAGGTGCTAATTTGATTCGAGAAGCTTGTCCTGAGAGAAGTGGGAAGGATGTCAGTCTCTAATTCGATTGATAGAAATCTCAAAACGGGGAATGCTCAATTGTGGGAGGAAATGGTCGAACTGAAGCTTCCTCAACCACCACTGAATGCCAGTGGAAACAAGACTGGTGGTGGTGGTGATGTGGTGGTCCGGTTGAGGTGGTCTGGTTGAGGTCTCCCGCTCAGCGATGTCCCTCTTTCCCTTCAACTCCGCCTCGCAGCAAAATTGCAAATGTTGCGATCGCCCCCAATTCTGCCTGCATTCAAGGACCGCTAGCAAATCCACGCCGCTAAACCTACAACAACGAAATTGTCGACCGACAACCCAATAGCGAGCGCGGTTTGCGAGGTGTCGAGTCATCGGATTGGTTGACGACCAGAATGGAGGTGCCGAAGCATGTGTAACAGCTCGTGAGATACTTCGATGAGTTCGCTGGGCCCTGGAACCCTTGACTGAAGTGCGATTCCGAAACGCGTGGCCCAGGGCGGTTCGGGCTACTTGCCACTAAGCAGCAGCATGCGCCAGCAGCGACTGCTGCTCACGAACCGAACCAATCAAACGACGACGAGATTGGTTCCGGACAGACTTCGCGGTATACAACTCTCGTTACCTTCACATTCCTTCGCAAATGCGGCAGCCTTGGAAATAGTCTGTTTATATTATCGTCCTTGTAGCCACACCAGTTCAGGAGTTGTTCATGCTGCTTTCTAGAGAATATTACCCTGATTGTGCTCAAGGCATATATTGTTATGAGTTGTAAAAGAGAGTGCGCAGGTAAACGAATAAAGAGACTGTGATTGAATGAACTGAGAATACAATGAAGGCACAGACTAATGTAGGAACTAGCCTAGCTGGGAGGGAACCTCGGACGAGCGAGGTTGGGTGCAGGTTTGGCGATTGGGAAATGCCGAAGGCGACGCGAGGAACCTCGGCAGCGTTGAAATCGGCCGAACGTGCGAAGTCCGGAAATCGGGCTGTGCGCGAAGCAGTGAACCCCGATAAGGAATTCGGAAAAAATCCTTACGCTACCTCTCAGTAACAAAACACGGCGGAATGAGTTGCATTGATTGGGTTGGGGTACAAATGCCTAACCCTAACTGTTTGTACCCCATATAGCATAACCCACTAGAGGCTATAACTTTTGACGCACCCCCATAGCCTAAGTGGGGAATGCCAAGCAACAAGAAACGCAACATAAGATCACAAGACCAGTCACAAGCAAGAGAGAAAACAAAGCTCAGGGTGGATCACAACGTCACCACACAGTCTGAGCACAAACAAATGGCCACAAGGCCAGTTCAAGAGTGTACAATCTAATATATATAGTACACAAAAACAAGAGGCAAGAACTCACTACTGCAGTCTACTAGACCCAGTCTCAACGAGGCCTAACTGCAGACAAAACAGGCGGTGGTCACAAGGCTGAAGGGCCTTGGTGAAGATGTCCGCGGTGTTGGCCTCGGAGGCCACGAAGTCCAGACGAGCCTGTCTGCGTCTCTGCAACTCTCGAAGGAGGAAGTACCTGACGTCGATGTGCTTCACTCTGCTCTCTAGTCGAGGCTCACGACGCACGAGAATCATCGCCTTGTTGTCAGCAAACAAGGTCGGTGCAGAGCTCGGCCGCTCACCAAGGTCGGTAAGCAAGAAGGTCAACCAGCGTAGCTCCTGTGCAGCAAGGGCTCCAGCGTAGATCGCAGCCTCTGCGGTAGAAGTCGCAACAGAGGACGACCGAGTGGACCTCCACGAAACAGCTCCAGACCCAGACCTGGTTTTCCCCAAGGTCAGTGCAGGTGTGTCTCTTCTGCAGTTCGGACTTCACCTCCGCTAGTGCAACTGTGTCGGCTGTGGCAAAAACCAAGTCGTCAACGTAGACGAGAACGAAGAAAGGTGTGCGCCCACGACGAACAAACAACGACGGGTCGGCGGAAGACGGCTCAAACCCGAGGTCGGACAGAGTAGAGCGTAGAGTATTGTGCCACTCACGGGGTGCCTGGCAGAGACCGTAGACCGGTCGTCTGAGGCTCCACTGGGTCCCAGGCGGGAAGGTGCCAGTGAAGCCCGGAGGACGACGCAGCCAGATCTCCTCGTGTAGACTGCCCTGGAGGAAGGTAGTAAATAAGTCAAGAGAGTGTAGCTCGTAGTCTCTCTGCGCTGCTACGTGCAGTAAGACCCGAAGAGTGGTCATCTTCGGGGTGGGCGCGAAGGTTTGAAAGAAGTCAACTCCCTCACGCTGACTGAACCCTCTAGCCACGTAGCGTGCCTTGAAGACTGGGGGAGATCCCGCCGGCCGCTTCACCTTGAAGATCCACATGCTGTCAACTATGTTCGCCCCTGGGGGGGGAACCTCGTCAACGTAAGTGCCTATGGACCTGTAGGAGGCCATCTCTGCGTCCGTGGCAGCTCTCCACTGAGAGGCCCAAGGCCCTGACACTGCCTCAGCGTAAGTGCGAGGAGTAGGTATGTCTGGAGCGTCCGGGTCTCCCTCAGGAGCGAGGAGCATGGCACAGAGATGAGGCGAAGCAGCTGCCAGGAACTCTAGCTCAAACTGTCTGTCCTCTAGGATGTCACAGCCAAAGGCAGACTCACCCCCGGCGGACAGAGGACAGACAGGAGGAGCGGCCATAACACGAGTGGCGTAGTCAAGGCGATGCGTAGCAGTAAAGTCAGTGACAGCGGCAGTGAGGACTGCGACGGAGGAAGGAGAGGCACGAGGGTTTGTAACAAGAGAGGCAAGAACACGAGAGAGGGTGGGGCGGTACGTGCGGTAGTAGTCAGTGACCGGAGGCAGTGAGGGACGACTCACGAGGACGAGGAAGAACAGACGAAGGAGGACGAGGAGGACTAGAATGAAACAACACGATACAGAGGTCAGTGACAGGTGACGAAGGACGAGCACGAGGGGGACGAGAGGTCCAAGTGTGGGCGAGAGGAGAGGGAGACGGAGGAGACTGAGAACGAAGGAACACAGCCGAAGCTGAGTCCGGAGGAGGAAACTTAGGACCGAACACAGGAGGAGAGGAGGGGAGACCAAGGGCTCGAAGGCGAGAAACAGGGGTCGGAGGCTGCTCCGGCTGCTGCAGCTGTTGCTGCTACTGCTGGGACTGCTGCTGCTCCTGCTGCAACTCCGACCTCTCACGCTCCAAACGCTGCTGCTCCTCACGCTCTAGACGAAGAAGGGCCCGGTAATGAGTCGGGTAGGGGTAAGGAGGAGTGGTGTCAGAAGACGCAGCAGAAGAACCGGCTCCGTCCTCGACAGTACCCGGTTGAGCACCCCCAGAGTGAGTACCTCCCGCGGCAGCACGACCAGCACCTGTAGGAGGTGTACCCGCACCCCCAGTCGTGGCGCCTCCAGTGGCACCAGCACCAGCACCAGCCCCAAACTCTCCAGCTCCAGAAACACCACCAGCTGCAGCACCCTCGGAACGGACAGCTGCGGCAGGTGCACGCTCAGCTCCAACGCCAACACCCCTAGAACTGGCTGCTCCTGTAGGTGCACGAACAGATCCAACGCCAGCACCCCCAGAGAGAGCACCGCCAGAACCCTCACCTTGAGCACCAACACCTTCAGAGGCCGCAGTGGCCGGTAAAGGAAGCGCTGACGGCTGCTGCGGAGGCGGTGAGGACGACTGTAGGGAAGGAGGAGAGACCTGGGGGGGTGCCGGGGGGGGGGAAAGTAGCGTGGGAGACACCATACGGAGCGGGAACAGGGGGGGGTACTGGAGGAGTAGGGGCGGGAGGAGGAGGAGCTGGAGCCGGGAAGAGGGGAGGGGGGGAACCAAGAGACCTCGACAGGGGTACCGGACATAGTAGGGGACGGACTCGTCGAAGCGGACGTCACGAGAGTCAAAGAACTGGTGGGAGGGAGGGTGGTAAAACGTGAAGTCAGAGGAGCCCTCTGGGAAACCAAGGAAGACACAGGGGACAGCGCGAGGTGAGATCTTGTCCGCAGAGGTGTCGCGGACAAGAGCCAAGCAGCCCCAGACACTAAACCTCGACGCAACACCAAGGGACCCTGTCCAAAGACTGGTCTGTGAAGCCCCTAGCCGAGAGACGCGAGGCCAGAGGTTCAGCTGGTGAGCAGCGTAACGAGCCGCGTAGGGCCACAAAAAATGGGGCGCGCGGGCGTGGATCATGGAGGTGCGGGCGATCTCCATGACCAGGCCTAAGCGGCGCTCAACAACCCCATTCTGCTATGGAGAGTCTGGAAGAGTCCAGAACTGGGTGATGCCCTGCTCAGCACAGAATCTCGCGAGAATGCCGGAGCGAAACTCACCCCCACGGTCGGAGTGAAGACAACTGACACGACGACCGCCAGTGCCCTCGGTGGCGAGGAGCCACCGGATCAGCGTAGAAGTCACGTCAGACTTCTTCGCCAAAGGGAACACGGTGGTGTACCGAGAGTAGTCGTCAACGATCACCAGAAAGTAACTCTCCCGCTCAGGGCCAAGGCGGGGAGCGGGGCCCCAGACGTCTAAGTGGAGAGTCTCGAAGGGCTCGGTGGCCGGACGAAGGGAGGAGGAGCGAGGGGTGGCGGGCAGCCGACCCTGGACACAAGGACCGCATGGAGGAGCTGGGGACGGCGGGAGGGGCAGGAGGACTCGGTGGAGGCCTAAGACAAG